GTCATCGAAACGAATAATTTTATATATATTTGTATTCATTCAAGCATTAATTCCTTGCACTTCTCGCTTAACAAAAACACAAAATAAAATACAAGCTAACAAATATTTTGAATTATAGTTTAGGAGATAGGCATTTATTTTCCCTACCTATTGTTGTGGCAGGAAACGAAGGACTAAACTGAGTTAGGTAGTTTGTTATGAATATAATAAAAGTACAAATCTTATAGTTAAACTCTGCCGGCTGCGCAAAATTCTATTTACAACATGGGAAAAGCAGACGAAAGAAACAGTATGACTAATTTAATACGAGATTTTGATTTTTGCGAATTGCTCACTTTCAACATTAATTCATACAAAGAGACTATTTCACCTTTTTAAAAGGTGTACAAGCTTAGAGCTTAAGCAATTCGAATATCTAGATGAACAATGTTAATTGAGAGTTATTGGTTGACTTATTAAGCACCTGAAATGACCCGATCAATTAACCAAAACATACAACACGTTTTTACAAATTGTAATTCAATGACTGAGCTTTGCAGCACTTGAAAGTTAAAGTTGATAAAGTTGGCGTTGCCGTTGAGGTCGTGGCAGGATCAAATGTCAGTGAATTAAGGGGAATTATCTTCGAATATGTTGCCGTAAATGTTTTGGCATGCGCCACAAACACACGATGCGAACGTGAACAACTTTAAGCAAACGGCAGAAATCAGCCGCATGGATAGAGATTCATTAACTGAATGCCATCGCCATCGCCATCACCGCCACGTACTCTTGTGGAACTTTTGTGTTCTGGCCATGGCAAAATGTTAATGAACACGACGGCAGACCGACACAGACATGGCCAGTTGGGTCTGGTCGGATGTCTGACTGTACGACAGTCTCGCTGACTCGCTGACTCGCTGGCAGTAGTACATCATTGTAATTGAGTGTTCATTAGCGGGCGAGTCGAATGAATTTTGGCATATTGGCTGCGGCCTGGAAATCGTCGGTACAACATCATTAACTTATGGCCCAGTCATGTGGGCCAAGCCTCGGCCTGGCCACGCCCTGCCAGCCTCATTATCGTCATCAAGCCATCATCTTTATTCGCTAATATTTGTGATATACACACGCCAACTTTAGCAAATTTTATTGTACATTAAAGCCAGCAGGGCGGCCAGCAACAAGAGCATTTGGCGGGTGCGAGAAGTTTACAAATATAATTTAATAAATGTGCGTTATGGCAATGAAAAGGACGCCAACTCTTTGGCCAAAACGTTGCCGGGCTTATGCCAAGTGGACGAGGGGAGTGGGTCTTGTTGTCGACGACCGACTGCCAAGAATAACAACAAATTGCTGTCCGTGTTGTTGTGCTCAAGTTTTTTGGCAGCGCGCAACATCTGACTTGGATTTGATTAATTCTGAAGTCGGTTTAACGGCTAAGCACCAAACGAGAGCGAGGGGTGACAGGGCAAGGCAAGGCAGGGCGAGCAGGCGGTTTCCTTTGCGTAACAGAGTGGTAGGGGGGGGAGCTGCTCATTCATTTAACTGCGGCTGCCGCGCTGTCTGTTGGGGTAAACTTTGATGAGCAACAAGAGGACGCCAGCACACATTAAAACCCAAAGTAGCACGAATAACAACTTTGATTATAAAATGCAACAACTGTAAATGTTATCACAGCGGAAATGTGCGTGCAATACGAGACTCGCGCACAAAACCGACAGCTGAGACGCCGGAGACCCATACTCATTCGCGGCATTGTTCTATTAGTTTAAGATTCTCCTGCTCAACTGTCAGGTCAAATTAGCACCATTGAGTTGCTGCTGTGGCTGCTGCTGCCACGCAATCTTCCACAAAGTTGGATTACGTTTTGTAAAATCCGTCTCAGTTACCCAGGTAACGATACGTTTAATATTTGTTATAATCATTCGTATATTCAGGCAAAGGTAAACGACTTTGGCTGCGAAAGCAATAACTAAATTGTCTAGACTTGGCTGAGTCAAGAATTGTGATTGTGAGTCAAGAAATATGAAAGCTGCTCTCAAATTAAAACAACTCGATGGACGAATAGCTATGATATACTTAGTTCAGTTCTTAACAGATGGAAAGACAGATGGATAATGCTGATCTAGTTTATATATACTTAATGGGGTCGAAGATGTCTCCATCTACATGCTATACATTTCATGACAAAATTGTCAAAGTATGAGTTCTACTTAAAAGTGAACTTCATTATAAAAACCCAATTTAAAAAAAATTAAACACGAAAGTTTTTATAGTCGACCCCAAACATTACCGAACTTAATTTTAATATTTTAATAGAAGATATGTTTAAGCTGGAAAAAGCGTGCACATGTCTTTACATAAACATTTATGTCTGCGCTTCACTTTAAGCTATTCTCAGCTTCAAGCATCGACTTAACTACAAAAGTGATAATGCAAATTGTGAAAATCACTTCTGACATCGACTTTTGCCACAAGAAGTTTAGTGATAAATCCACTTGGAGAGTCACATAATCAAAAACAACTTTTAAACTTGCTAAAACCCTAATGCACTATGCGAATAAAGAATTATATTGCTAAGCCCAGACATAAGACAGACCCTTGTGATGGTCCCGCTGCTGCTGCTGCTGCTGTTGTTGCTAGTGCTTCCGTTTTGTGTGGCTGTCAATCTAAAGCAGCTAACAGTCGAGTGGGAGCAGCTCGAGTGGCAGCAGTGCCAGACCACTCTGCTGATAGTTAATTTCAGTCATTCACATAGAACTGTGTGCATTTGTTGCTGTTACAAACTTGAATTATGTGCATGTCATTGTGTAACAACACTCGCATAAAACTCATTTGCCATTGCCACCATCAGCTCGACGGCCCACAATGCAGTCTAGAGTGTCCGGCGAGCTCGGACTCGAATCCGAGTCTGAGTCCGAGTCCGAACTCGGTCTCAAATTCGCACTCCAAGCAAGAGTCAGGGCCGGAGTTAGTGTCGTCGTCGTTGTCGTTGTCGTTGTCCTGGTCATCGTCATTATCATTCAACTATCTAACTGCGACAACGATCAAAAAATACCAGAATATTTCCCTTTTGCAAACAAAATAAATTAGAATTGAAATAATTCGTAGGAAACTTTGCGTTTTTCCTAGTTTTTAATAAAGCAAACGGCGCGCTGTGCAAACTTTTGCCCAGCGGCAACGCTGCGTATGGGCAATATGCAAAATGCAAAATGCCAGCGGACCGAGTCCTCAGTCCTCCTCCTCCTCCTCCTCCTCCTCCCGCTGTCAAGCTGCCGACTCGTCAGCGCCGCCCGACTGGGTGTGCGGGTAGATTTTGCGGTTGGACTCGTAGCTAACAAACAAACAAGCATTACAAAATGAAGGAACAGTAAGCTGGCAAGGAAGAAGAAGCAACAGCGGCAACAGAAACAAGGACCTGCGACTCGGGACAAGCGGCCAGCTGGCTGACTGGCTGGCTGGCTGGCTGGCTATAAATAAATAAAATTTCAAGGATGCGTGCGCTTTTATCTTCACAACTTGCTTTTGCCTTTGGTAATTTTTATTACATTTTGCTGTGTGCACTTTTTCATATGTTGTAAATAGCTGCGCTCAAAAGGAATACGTCCGACAACTTTTTGCGGCAATTCAAACTAATGATTAAACATTTTCAGTTTGCTCCTTTATGTTTGTGCTATGACATTTCAGCATGCGACCGTCTCACTCAAGCCTCGGCTCCTCCTGTCGCCAGGGTCGGCGCAGTTTTCTTCTTTTTTTTTTTTTTTGCCGGAAAAGGAAGGGGAGCTCTTTTCATTCATGACGGTCGTCTTGTTGTTCGGCCAGCAACCGCAATTTGAATATATAAATACATTTTAATGATGTCGCCGCTCATTAATCATAATCTATTCATTAATTTTTGACCTACCTCCAACGCTGGCTTCCGCTGCCCCTACGCCCCGCCGGGCAGAGCTGACATGTCGGAAAATCTTACACAAAAAAGTGAAATCTGTACAAATGTTTGGACCTTTGTTTTACATGAAATTCAGATAGGATCTCGGTCAAAAAATAAAGCAGGCAGTGGCAGCGGCAGCGGCAGCGGCAAACACAAATAGAACACGGCATGGCAGCTAATTAACAAACATTTTTCGCCCAGCACCAACCAACACACCTGCCCAATTAGTGAAAAACGAGCAGCCCGCTTTTCTTAATGGCAGTGACAAATTTTTGTATAAATTTTCTATAAGCTGAAGACGCTAAACGCTTTTGGAGACAGTCGGCCAAGCGGCTCAGCTGAAAATACTCTTAAATATTTGAAAGATAAGTCGCAGCTCAGCAAAGCCAGCCCAGGGCCCAAGGATCCACAGCTTACATCATGGGCAGAGGCGTGGCTGGGATTGGCGCACAGAATGTGACCCATTTGCTGAGTTTTTTTTTTTTTTAATGCAAGCACAGTTGTCCGCTTAGTGCTATTGCCGTTTAGTCTTCTTCTTTCTTGTGTGTGTGTGGGTGTGTGGGTGTGGGTGTGGGTGTGTGAGATTTGATGGGTCTCGAGAAATCGAAGCGGGATAATTTGTCACCAGAGAGAAAATGGTGAAACATTAAATTTGGCAAATAAATGGACACTTGTTTGTCATAACGCTGCAAATGCGTCCAAATACATGCGAGTAAAATAAAAATGAAGGACCAAAAAGGACGAAGCCGACGCAATCACAATGGCGACAGCTACGATGTTATCCGAACAGAAAAGTAAAAAAATTGTTCTTAAAAATGAAAAACAAGTCCATTTTCATTTGTGCAATAAAATAGAAAACAACAAAAGTGACTGGGAAATACAAAATTCGCCAGGAATAGCCGACTAATTGAATACCCTGCCGAAAAATAACTGGAAAGTCGAATGTTTGAGGCTTCATTTGAACTAAACTAAATTTCGGATTGCAAAATTATATGCAATATAAACAAGAATTATTATTATACAGTGACAAGATTTACTTTAAAAAAGACATTTATTTTCATCAAAAACTTTATTATATATTGTTTTATATATACAAGAATATTGATACAAATTGATAATAAAATATCACAAAATTGCGATTTATAGGCGACTGCAGTGAGCACTCGGCCAAGCTTCCAGTAGTATAGTAAGTACGAAATCCTGATTAAAATTGCTTTTAATGTCCATATGCCACAATTTGTTGCTGCAGAGCATTTGCCAAAAAAATACAACGACGAGGCGAGCAAGACGAGGAGCAGCGGCGGCAGCGGCAGCGGCAGCGGCAAATGGCAATGGCAATGGCAAAAAGTAAATAAATCGCTTCAAATTTTCGCATGGGTTGCGAGTCAGGGGAACGGACCAAAACTGCTGAGCACAACGCTCAACTGAGCTGAGGTGGCACGAGCTGGGCGTGCAGGGTGAGCTGGGCGATGTGGAGCGGAGCTGGCGGAGGTGGCAGTGTTGGCCTGGAAGCGTGGAACCGTAAGTAGAAGAAAAAGCCGGCGTAACTGCAGCGAAACGGGCAGAGGAAACTTACACCAAAACCCAGTTCGACTTGCTCCTTTATTGTTTTTGTTGAATGTTGTTTTTTGTTGTTGCTGCTTTTTTTATTATTTTTTCTTTTGTTGATGGTCTTGTTGCTTGCTGGTTTTGTTGGTGTCGCAGGTTGTAGAGGTTCTGGTTCTGGTTCTGGTTTGGGACATTTCTACGTACTAGGTACCAGGTGCAATCTATCGATTCTCTGCCTAGCCCCGCAGCAGCATCCTTGTCGTCCTGCTGCTGCTGCTGCTGCTGCTGCTCCTGCTCCGGTTCCAGCTTCTCGCTTGCTACTGCTGCTCGTTATTGCTGCTGCTGTCCATGTTGCCTGTGTTGTTCTTGTTGCTCTTGTTCCCCAGTTGTTGCAGTTGAAATATTTACGATGTACGTTGGGCTATTTCACTATTTGTAGCACCCCAACTCGCAGTCAAAGTCGCAGTCGTAGTCGGAGACATACGCACAAGTGTTGCCATTGTTGTTATTGTTGCTGCCATTGTTGTTGCTGCTGCTGTTGGTGTTGTTGTTGTTGTTGTTGTTGGCTGTGCGTCACCTTTTTTATTGTTCTCTGGCTTGTAACGACGAAAACGAAAACAGTTGCACCAAAATGTATTAAATTATCAAATAAAAGCAAGCCAAAAATATACAAAATAAAAATCAAGTAAAAATAAAGCGTTTAACAAAAATGTAAAACACAAACGGGTCGACTATGTAATGCTCTATAAACAGTTTTTTCTTTTTGTAATTCAATGCAAAAGTGAGCCAGGAAATTGCGAGTGCCACAGGGCAAAAAGGTAGAAATTATTGAAACTAGAGAAAGGAAAATAAATCCATACGAAGGACACAATACGTTAGCAAAATTAAGCTTAAATAAAAATAGGAGAATTTAAAATATATAAGTAACAAAAAAACTGATCTAAATAAAAATGGAACTCAGATGTTTGCATTAATACCAGTTAGAGTATTCCGTTGAGCGACTATTGTAAAAATCCTTACTGATTGTTCCAGACAAAACAAAAACCAAAAAAGAGGAGTAGAAACATCCATTCGCGGAATTGAATTTTTCCATTTTGTGATGTGAACGTTTTAAATACAATTAGTTCAGTTGTTCAACAGCGTAAAATATGGATAAAACCTTCCTATATAAAAAAGAGAAAAAATGGCAAAACTTGGCACGCCGAAGATGAGATGCTCTTTCGGAAATAAGGCTAACGATTTAGCAGATGTGAGCAGAGAATAATAAGCTTATTGCAGATTTCTCGAAAAAGAGGGAAACTTGTCGTTTAAAATTGATGTTTTGGACTATAAATTCATGCGAGGGATATTAAATTGTGTTAAACGAGAAAGCGAGAGAAAGAGAGAGAGAGAGAGAGAGACAGTCAGAAAAGCCAGTCACCAACATATATATATATATTTGATTTATCGCTCGAAGATGTCTCTTTTTATGCGTTACACATTTCATACTAAAACTGACATACCCTCTAGAAGGGTATACAAAGTGTAATAGGAACAAATTGTTGGTGTTAAAACGAGGTGCAAAAGCTGCCATAACTTTTCATAACAAAATCAAAAGGATAAGGGTTTAATGTAGTTACCTATGGGATTTACTGAAGCGAATATGCGCACATGTATTGCCTGATGGATTTACAAGAGTGAGGGAATAATATTAGGGCCTAACGTTAAAAAGCTTAAATGCGGCCTATTTCTATTCAATTTCCTCTAATTGTCTACGCCTATGTCACATCCAACATATTTTTCTTACTTCCGATATGTAAGACTATCTAATCATAGAAGATATTTTCGCACACAATAAAACTGAGCTAAGGCAATTAGATTCTGCATATGCCCTATGTAGAGACACAGCTAGCATACAGGGTATAGCGAAAAGCTGCACGCGTTGCTTTCATTTATAATTTTATTTATTTTCTCAATGCATTTTGCGCAAATAAAGAAGCAAAATGGGCGCAAAAAAATATAATAATTTGTGCAAATTTTATTTGCCGGCGCTTTTCATTATTTTTATTTGCAGTAACAAACAGCGAAGAAAAGTGGAAAGCAGCCGCAGCGGCAGACGAGACAGGGGAGTGAGAGTATTTTAATAAAACCGCACACACGCACACACACACACGCGCTTACACACACACACAGAGAGAGAGTGAGAGAGAAGGAGATGCTTTGTTAGGGGCAAAGACAGCAATTGAGTTGCGTTGAAGTGGCATAAAGTAGTAGCAAGTGGCGGCTGAGTTGTAGTTGTTGGGCTGGTTTGCTTTTTAACCATTTTGTTTGGTCTTTGCGTTTTCCCTTTAGGCGCGCACACGCGACGCTCAGGTGAAAACGCAGCCAAAGCTCGAGATGTTGGCAATGAATGTCGGATATCCCCAGCGCTGGGCTGTGTAAATGTAATGGGAAATGAAATGAATGAATGAGCATAAGGACTTTTTTGTTTGTGTGCCTGCCTCTCTGCCCGCCCGCTCAGCTCGGTCTACCTGTCTCACTATCTGTCTGTTTGTTCGTTTGTTTGTGGCCGCAGACGCATGCTGCAAAGAAGGGCGGGGGCGGGGGTAACTGAGATGATGCACTTCAAATTAAAATGCGAATGCAAGCGAAAACTTCAAAAGAAGCCCTAGAACAGAAAACAGAAGCGCAAACGAGATACTAATAGACAATGGCAAAGCCAAGTGGGGGGAGGAGGCAACTAACTGGGGCGGTAAGCATGCGGGAGGGGGCGTGTTCCCTGCAACGTATGCACTGCAATTGAAAAGCACATAAACACACTAACACACTGCGATAGCGAAAGTGTCCCTGTGTGTGTGTGTGTGTGTGTGTGTGTGTGTGTGTAATGCCAGCCAGCCAAGGATAAAGTTAGCGACAGCAGCAGCAGTGCAGGACATACAAATGCACTTTGGACGTGGACGACGCGCACTAAATTCGCTTTAATTCACTTTTCATACAAAACAGCAGCAGCAGCAGCAGCAGCAGCAGCAGCAGCAGCAGCAGTAGCAGAAGCAGCAGCAGGCAAGGCAGCAGCACAAAAGCACGCGCTGCACACAGACGCAGACACAGAGAAGCGTGTGTTTGTTGTAATTAATTTAAAATATTATTATATGCGCACGCGAGCGCTAAACTAAGCCAAGGAAACAGGCAAAGGAGTGTAAGCAGCTCAGAAGCGGAGACACCGTGGATAGAGTGCAAAAGAGCGGGCGGGTGAACGGAGCGAGGGGCAGAGAGCATGTGGCAGCAGTGACAGGGCAGGGCTAAATAATTATAGCCCACGCGAGCTGCACACGAAGCGCCAGACAAACAACCAAAACAACAAGCGAAACCAAGTATGGAATTACAAGCAGCTGGGCAAGTGTATAAGCGTGTGAAGGTGTGCATGTATGTGTATGTGTGTATGTATATATCTAACCTATTGGAGCTAAGCGCTAAACCAAATGCTCCAGCCATTTTTTTTAATTGACGTGCAAAATTCGAGCAGGACAACGCCGACATGCACTTACAACCGACAACAAATCAACAAGCATTGACTGCAAGGCACAAATACAAGCACGAAACACACACACACACACGCAGAGCAACATACCAACATACATGTGTCCATTATTGCACACACACACACACACACACGCACACAGTTAGGGTAAGCAGCAGGCAAGCCCGACACGCCAGACAGTGCGCCAAATGCCAAAAATACCGAAGACGACGAAATTGAAAAAAGTAATAAACGTAAAGCTATTACAAAATCTGATAATGGTCCACCGCTGGCAATAGAGCGCAAATGCCGGCGAACGCACACAGAACACACAGGCAAACAACAAAAAAAAAGAGCATGAAATGCAAAGGCTAAAAACCATCAAAGAGACTTCGAGAGAGAGAGAGAGCTAGAGAGAGAGAGAGCGACAGAGACTGAGCATAAGTGAAACGAACTGGAATCGGAACACAACAAGCTGGCGAAAGGCAACGCAAGTGTAACAGAATGCAAGCAGGGAGAGCTCGACTGCCGCTGGGGCACATAAACAACCGTTACAATATGCAGCTGCAGCGCCAACGCTACAACAAACAACAACAGCAACAACATCGACAACATCGACAACAACAACAGCCGTCAAACATAAACATTGTGGCGCGCGTGCTGCCGCTGCCGCTGCCCCGAATCGTGGCTGGCGCAATATTAATTTCACGAATGAACAACCCTTGAATAACCATACACTTCATGTGCCGTTATTATGGCTTTGCGACGTGAACGAGAGCGCGAATGCGAATGCGAGAGCAGCGAATGCACTGAGAGCGTCTGCTCGGAAAGCTTTCAATTTGCCGAACGAAGCGCGAGACAAACAACGACAAAGTTGCTTCGTTTGTTCGGCTCGCTTTTAAAGCCGACGGCGTGTATTCAATGGTATTGGTGTATGTATGTGTGTGTTTTGTGCGTGTGTATGTGTAAGTGTGTGTGTGTGTGCAGTGCTTTTTCATTCTGCATTTCCCAGAGGTGCATTTTTCTGAAAATCTAATTTGAGAGATTGAGATTGTTTGGTCTTTCAATGTTCTGCTCGCTCGTTCGTGTTGCGACGCTTGCAATTTTAGCCCCAGCCACAACAACAGAAACCATTCTTATATTTATGTGTGTACATATATACGCACACACACGCACACACACACACACACATCCACAAAGGCACACACACACATATGTGTGCAACATATTGGGGAGTTATTACTCAGCAAGCCGCACGGTCTGTCTGTCTGTCTGTCTGTCTGTGCACACATGCCCCGTTCGCCGCTTACTTTAATTGGACGCGCGGGCGTTACGGTGTCGTAATTTTTTGAAAAATCTACATGCTTGCCCCCAGTATTCGCATCCGCATCCGCATTCGCATCAGCATCCGCATCTCAACGATAACGATGCGACGCGATGCGATGCGTCGCAATGGCTTCAATCATTGCGCACAGCGCTCACTGCGGTTTGACAAACATTTTTCACTGGCTGTGCAACGGCAGCGCCACAGCGTCGTCCTTCCACAACATATCTGACACACACACATACGCACACACACACACACACAGACACACACCCCATTCGACGCGTCGTGTATGTTTGATGAGTGTGCGAGAGTTTTATGGCTGTATTGGGAATGAGCCGTTCAGGCCGAAGCAAGCGAATAGCTCCAAGCAGGCGGGGGCTTGTATCATTCAAGGATGGGGGTCTGGGGGCTGGAGGGTCTGGGTGTAGCTGCCATTGCTGGCTGGGTGATTGGGTTATGCTCTGATTTTAATTTTGAAATCATACAAGTGCAGCACTGCAAAGTGATACATGTGGATTTATTTATTTATGTACGTAAGTGTGCATGTGTGCTTACATATAAATGTGTCTGCGTGTGTGTGAGTTTTTGTATTTCACTCTATGCATGTGTGCGCGCGATGCGATAAAGCGCCTTACAGGATTTGGATGATGGCTGAGGGCAATGCCGCTTCTGTTTGCAATTTGATAAGCTCTCTCTGGCATTATTTTTACGACATTTCTTTTTGACATGCCAGTCGCCTGAAAGTATGCAATAAAAATATCAATACTAAGCCAATGTGTAAATCAGTGAATCTTATTGTTTTACATTTTCCGTCTTCTTTTCACTTTATT